AGTGAGTCAGTGAGTCAGTGAGTCAGTGAGTCAGTGAGTCAGTCAGTCGTCAGTCAGTCAGTGAGTCAGTCAGTCAGTCAGTCAGTCAGTAAGTCAGCCTATATTTTCGCAATTTATGAAAAAGGCCAGTCAAACTCACCGAAACGTCGTCGATTAGATAAATTTTAACCTGGGAAATGAGGAATCCCGGAAACAGAGAGCAACTTTTAGTTCTGATTTCTGTTGCATAAAGTAAATGTTTTTTTGTAAATGTTTTGTGGAGTTTAAGATTAGTCGAAGTCAAAACTGATGGATGATAGATAATTCTTGCTTATCCTGGATTATCTCATATCGTGTTTTGAACAAACGGACCCAGGTTTTCTTTTGTTATATACATACATACATACATACATACATACAACATTTGATCGACGTAGATCCTTTATTTTGAGAAGGTTAAATTAAAGGCAGCACTAGACTGTTACGTTGACGAAAAACAGATAGAAGTTCGGGAAGTAAACATGTATCGTTAAATGCCATATAACAGCTCGTACATGATACGTATCCTCCAAATGACGTGTTGAAGTCAGCCCCGGTGAGACGTAAAACAATTTTCGTTCATCGGCAAGTCTTTGCAGCGTTTGTCTTGCCTTGTTTTTCCTAAACCCTAACCCTAAAGGAACAAAACCAGAAGATGATTGAGTCAGATGACTTACAGACATTTACTAGAGTTCTATTTTGATTGCAATCAACAGACGAAGTCAAAAACAGTAATTGACGGTCTACAAATTGATTCTCACCTCTGGTTTGGATCTGCAGGGCGAATCAACTATACATGACTGAGTTACGGCATGTAAGCCCGTCTTGATTCTTGTCCCTTCACCAAAAGTAAACCTAAAATGAAGAAAAGATTTGAGACTTCAACCCTCAAGGCAACTGTGAACCCTCAAAAGTAATGAAAGTTTGCTGTGAACTTACCATTAAAGTGAAAATCATTGAAATCACAAGCTGGCTTCGATTCATTGTTTGAACTCCAACAACAAGAAAGAAAAAACAAACCGAAAAAAAAAATCAGACAAGAACACCCTGAATATCAACAATAAACAAAGTAGAAGAATGACAATACAAAATAAAACAATGTAAACCAGAAATACTGAAATACGCATTTACAGGCCTGATTATAAGATTTTTTAAATCACTTCATGTTTAATCACGAGATTTTAAAGCTAAGATAACAGAGATTGTGCATCATTTGCAGGCGATGCCCACTGGAAATCAACCTATGTTTTCATATTACCCAAAGAAGTAAATCGGTGTGTCTTTCAACGGTATTTCATTCAGTTAGCGAGTAAAATAGTATTCACTACTAAAACCTTACATATTTTACCTCAAGAGTAGAAACTGAGCACACACTGTTGGAGATGGCAAAAGTTTCAAAAACTATATAGCAACTGACTCAAAAGTGGTTTGCATAGTTCTACCAACCTGATAAATATCATCCAAAGACGTAGCAGCTACATTCAAGCTCGACTGAACCTCCAGGATTAAGCACGCGTACCTTTCTTCACGTCAAATAGATCGTTGTTTTGGTCCAATAATCGTATCTGGTTATGGAGCATCTCTCTCTTTTTGTAGTAACATCATGACCATCAGTTTAACAAGCTTAAATTCTCTTTTTTTGTAGAAATGAGGACAGAACTGACAAGAACCAACGACGGAGTTGGCGAATAACTGAACACGAGATGAATAATTATCAGCATCAGCACGTGCACTTTGAATAATTTGCAATGGAAATCATTGACCGAGAGTAGTTTGGCGCAACACAGTACATTTCGAAAGTTTGTTATTTCTTTAACAGTCGTCAGAAACCGAAATACTCAAGGAAAAGTTTGGTTGCCGAGATGATGATAAAAAATATTTTTATACGGCCATAGCAAAGAAGATATATCATAGATTGAAATCAAAGACTTGATAAAATTGGCCAATAGTTTCAACTTTTTATAATTTGTAATCGGCAACTCCCTCTCTTGATGGAAACTAAATTACACGGGGAGCTAAGAAGAAACCCACCGGTTAATTACCGTAAACGTCCGAAAGCAACGATCCCCGAAAGTAACGTCATAAAATTGTGGTCGCTAATAAATCCCGAGAGTAGCGACCTTCCCGAAAGTAACCAGTCTACTCAGTCCCCACCCCACCGAAAACAGTCAGGTGAAAGTTACCGTACGGTCGCTTGATTTAAGGCACTTTAGCTTTACAACAAGAGAAGGTATCGCTTATGCCACGAAGCGTTGTAAATGTCAAGTCATGCTTCGTGAGTTCATGTTGCGCTGTGTTAAAACAAAACCAGTAGAATCTTCATCAAGTAGCAGGAACGTACTAACATGAACTCTTTTTAAAATTAAAATAGAAAACTCGGTATCATTTTCAACAGGAGCGTATTGAGAGGAACGTTTCTTCAAATTTATATTGAAAACTCGGCCAACGCACTGAGATATTGTTAAAGCAGAGTAGCATAGCAGTGCGTCACTAAGTAGAAACAATTTACGGTATCTTGCTAGCTTTCCTGTTGACCACTGAGAAAACGTACATCTAGGCAGGAAGAGCCAACCCATGTGGCAGCAACATAGATTTAAACTGGAACGAGGAATTTAATCTGCTGTTTAAGGAACTCTTTTTACGAATTTCCGTCTTTTACATAACGTTTTTTGCTCCCCGAAAGTAACGACACCTCGATACTAACGACCCCCCGAAAATAACGAGTCCCAAAAGCTGTTAATTCCGAATGTAACGAAGGTAGTTGTCCTTCGGAAGTTTACGGTAGGCTCTCCAGTTCGAACTTTATTTTAATACAGATAGAAACACTTTTTGGGTTTGTGCCATTTCTAAATAACTAAATGTATAATTAATGATCAACTGAATAATATGAACGGGCTTAATCAAGAGAACATCAAAGTCTTCTCTTGGTTCTAGATTTGCAGCGGGTGAACAAAAAGACAGCAAGGAAAAAGAAGTTAAAGGGGCTCAGTCACAGTATTTTGAGTTATTTTGGTCACATACAAAATTACCTTTAAATCGTAGGAAACCTGAAAATAACAGTTTAATAAGATAAAAAACACCAAAAAGATAATGATAAACGATGAAGGAACAAGGATGACTAAGGATGGAGAAGATTAACACAGATTACAAACGACGAATTTGAAAAATTTAGGCTAAACGTTTCAATACGCGCAAACCGTGACTGAGCTCCTTTACCATATTATCATTCAAATTCAATACATTATCCTTCATAACCGCCATAATACACCTTCACTTTCCATCATACACCTCAATACGCAGAGCAAAAACTGCTAAGAAAACGATTCGTGCAAGGAGACTCATGGGAAAAAATACAGCAAGTGCTCTCTACTATCATAAATCAAAACTGTAACAAAATTCTCGAACGTGATTGGCTATCAGCAGCTCGATTTGAGCATTAATTGGACAGTGTACGCGTCCGTGCTTGTAATTGGACGGTACGCGTCATTTTGCACCCGCTGTTGCGGTGCACTTTGTTGAGTAAACTGCTGTGTTTTTCAGCATTCACAACGACGTTTAATCGTTCAACACTCAATCGATGGTTTGTTCCTTTCTCGAATTTTGTCATAATTTTGATTAAAAATATATAATTAATATTGGTAACAGGGCTTCGCGTCGTCCAGTCTGTAATCATTCTCGTAATTAACAAATCGGACTCCCGCTTCGCCGTCGTCCGATTTTGTTGATCGTTCGTATGATTACAGACAGAATTGGACTCCACTCAGTCCTATTACCATTATTAATTATATTTTTTTAATTCTTGCCCAACAAAAAAATTATGCACAACCTGGACCTTGGTGACTAGCCTGTCCCGTACTGAAAGATCGTCGCCCGTTAAATTGGAGAGCAAAAATTTGACGAAGCAGGGGGTGGTGGGGTGGTGATGTGGTTGGATGGTGTCGCCCCACCAGCCCCTGCTCCGTCGAATGTTTGCTCTCGCTTAAATTTACGTGCGGTCAACATGACTTTAGCCCAGGGCGCTTATGGCCTTTTTCCGCCCTGCTTTAGCCTGTGTACATCCGCCCCTCGACGACAAAAAAATTTCGCCTCCCCCCCCAAATAAATTGCCCAACCCTACCAACCCCCTCGAAAAAATCTGGATCCTTCCCTAATTATAATAGAGCGCTTGGTATCGTATGCCGAAAGCGAGAATGTTGCAATTGCGTTGTACTTGGAAGCCTATCTGTAGCAGAAGCCTTTTGGGGGTGAAAAACATATCACCTTTGGTTTTAAAACGAACCTTTCTCACCAGTCCAGTTAATTCTAGTGATGATGAAGCTAAAAGCAGCCTGCAAGTGCTCACCGAAGAGCAAAAACAACAGGTGAGTGACATTCGTTACCCCAATGCACTGAGACTTTTGTGAAACTGCCTATTGTTTATATTATAGGAACTTAAATTTTGAAATAAAAATGAGGGGTCTCCATGTTCGTTTAGGAGCAACAGCACCTTGTTTATACCCAATAAATCCTTATGACAGGGTATCAGGTCGTTTCGCCCGATGACCCATTCGCCCGATTTCTGAGTCGATTCCCCCGAAGAAAAAGTCGATTCGCCCGGACCAAGAGTCGATTCGCCCGGACTAATAAAATCCAGGTTAATCAAGTATGTTTTGTTGGCTTAACTTAATCAA